AGAGGGAGATGATGCTGTGGAAGGAAGAGGAGCTTGCCATACAGCTGTGAGCAGCAAGATTCCCGGCAAAGCCTCTCTGGGCTTCAGTGTCTTCATCTGTAAGATGAGAAGGTGCAAGCTGGACTCACTCTGAAGTTCTTTTAAACACCATCATTCCGAACACCATCAGAATCTATTATTTCCTATTCTACTTCTCATGTACATATTTGCTCTTCCTCTTTATAAGGGAACGACTCACCCAGGCTTTACTGCATGAATGCCAACCCTGTTGACCTTTGCTAGAATCAACACTGAAAACAAGGCAGAAGAGTCATCAACATGGTAGATCTGCAATGCGTACATTTTATTGGGACGAGTATGGGAGGAAGGATGCACTGTAAAATGTTCCACATAACGCAGACAAGGAAGAATTATACTTTGGAGCTGTGGGAGGATGTATAATGGCCCATGGAAAACGTTTACATCCTAACCCCTAGAATCTGTATGTTACCTTACACGGTAAAAGGGACTCTGCAGATGGGATTACATTAGGGACCTTGAGCTGGGGAGATTACTCTGCATCATCTGGGTGGATCCAATCTAATCACAAGGGTCCTTGTAAGAGGAAGCAGGAGGGTCAGAGTCAGAGAAGGAGATGTGATGACAAAAGCAGAGGTCAGAATGATGTGGGGTCACGAGCCACGGAACGTGGGCAGCCTCTAGAAAACTATAAAAGCCAAGAAAGTAAACTCTCTCTTTAGAGCCTCCTGAAGGAACCAGCCCTGCCTACCCATCTTAGATTTATATTCTCCAGAACCATAAAATAATAAATCTGTATTGTTGTGTTTTGTTTTTTTTTTTTTTTGCAGTACGTGGGCCTCTTACTGTTGTGGCCTCTCCCGTTGCGGAGCACAGGCCCCAGACGCGCAGGCTCAGCGGCCATGGCTCACGGGCCCAGCCGCTCCGCGGCATGTGGGATCTTCCTGGACCAGGGCACGAACCCGTGTCCCCTGCATCGGCAGGCAGACTCTCAACCACTGCGCCACCAGGGAAGCCCAAATCTGTATTGTTTTAAGCCACTAACTGTGTGATAGTTTGGAATCAGCAATAGGAAACTAATGCCTCCATGCTGCCAATAAGTTGTGCCCTGAAAAGAAGCTGTGGATAAGATCCTAGGGTATTTGGCAAGTTTGAACTAGGTACCTGCATTTGTTCAAGAGAAGAGCAAAGTGTAGTGGGAGACTGTCCTAGGGTTCAAGGGCACAGGATGCCACTCAGGAGTCCCTAAGGCAAAAAGGCACAGGGATGAGAGGGAAGGAAGCCAGGAACTGAGCTACCGCAGTGGGGTCAATTCACTGTGGCTGGTGTGTATCAAGGAACCTGAGCCTCATCAATGCTCCACCAGGAGGCTCCACCTCCATTCACTCTCTAATGCATCACCCCGTTTCTTTCTTTCACTTAACACATGCTGTAACTGTCTTGGAAATCTTCCCCTCTTTACCTGTCTGCTACGTCTCTCCCCACACAAGAACACAAGCTCCACGTGGACATAGACCTTGTCTGTTTTGCACGCGTCTGTATCCCCAAGACCTAGCACGGTACTGCCACACCGGAAAGACTAAAAGTCAGAGGGGAAGAAAAACCAACAGCCTACAACAAACCTCAAGGAAACGAAGACTGGTAGTGGTATATCTGCCACCTTAACCCTTTCCATAAAATCACAGAATCTGAGAGCTCAAAGAAATCTTACGGTTTACCTCTCCACTTTCTGAGATCAAACACAATGTCAAACACACCACCGCCTGGTTAATCATATAAGCCGGCAATGAAAAATATGGTCATGATATAAAAAAATGTAATGTAGTGAGATGTTTACATAACTTTTCATTGTGTGTATACTTCCTATATTAGCTTTGAGTACCTAACATTAATTTTAATCTGCATAGTAACCTAGAATTCCACATCTTTTTCACAACATTAAACTGTGCTCATGAGACAACACATGGCAAGCACTTAGAACAGGGTCTGGCGTGCTAAAGTGTTAAATCTACTATTTTGTATTATTTTTTATCTTATCATTAGCAAATTGCAATGTGTATAAATGTGAATGAACTCAGGCCTCCTTTTTCTACTCTAGGGCTTTCCGGCAGACTCTCATCCATTCCTTCTCCAAGAATAATGGCTCACACAGAAATATCTACCAGATGACCCTCTCTTCGTGCAATCTCTAAATTTCCATAATGGGAAGAAAAGGAAAGGACTTTCCATAATGGCAAGAAAACAAACAGAAGTCTTTCCCATTTCTTCTTCTTGTCATTTTGTAGATTTTATACAAGAAAAAAAAAAAAAAAGCAGCAGCAGGCCTACAAAAAAGGACAACTGCCAAGGAAACACCGAGTGGCACTAAGGTGGAGCCAGGGAATTAGGTGACTCTGCTGCAGGGACTCCACTCTAGGAGACTCCACACAAAAAGGGGTGGGTCTAGAATGGGATTAGGGATCCCATTGGTAAGGGAATCCCCAATCAATATGGTGAATGTAGCGGGGGTAGAGGGTCTAGCAAAATCCCCCAACCTCAGTACAGCTCTGGATTAGATTCTCTGAACTGAAATCAATAGATGACGTGAATTGCGACTGTTTTTGAAAAACAGAACTGTTATACAAGCATACGTGTTATAAAAGTGTGATAAAACTTCTGTGATACATCCCAAAATTTTTTTAGAATAGAGAACATAAAAACTTTAAAGTAAGGTCCTTAATAGAGCTGCTGAAATACTTTTTCGCAGACTCTTTGATTAATGGCCAGAGTTAAAGCTAGTGCAAGGTAACTTCAAAAATACTTAAGCATTGAGAAACTATATGCAAACTGGTAAGGGATGCACTGATATTCAGCTTTAGCTTTACAGTATAGCTAAAATCTGCTGGAATAGCTAAAATCACCTTCAGCTTTGTCCTCAGCTTCTGGAAGGCAAAGGAGCTGAAGCCTACTTCAAGGTCATTTCTGGCATCAATGAACCTGTCAGTGATCAATGACCTTATGATTATCTTGTGATCACAACTAAACTATATCACCAATAGTATGTCATTTGGATTTATTGCAAACATCTGCATATTCACTTGAACTATAGGTAAGCATTCTAGATGTGACCTGGATGAAACCATGCGTTTTACATGTTGAAGTTACACAAACCAGGAAAAGATAAGTATCTGTAAGTACTGCAATAATAAAATACAATAATATGTGATTTTGGAAGCTGTTCATTCTACACCCCAAAATAATTTAGAACTTCCAAATAACTTATTTCATGGAAAAAGAATTTGGAATTAATAAAAATATCAAAAGAACATACATCGGCCAGCTGTTTCTAAAAACCTAAATAATATAAGGCAAAAAATAAGGATATTTAATAATTCTAATATTTGTACAATTTTTACTATATTAGTATTAAAAACATAAAACAAAATGTTTAAGAACTGTGTTCAATTTTTAAGTACTTATATTTAGTCCTGAGACCTTCAAGAAAAATCCATTTGGGAATTTTCATATCTTGTGAGAAAATTAAAAGCAGAATCTCAACTTCTCCTTTGAAAGAATGCTGAATTTAACATTTACCCTTTTGGCAAAAACATCTATTCAGATCAAGTGTTTACACCTGCTTTTCTCCTTTGAGCATTCTCCCAAACTCCCATCTGAAGGAGTAAATACGGGGTTTATTGTTTCCAATTTTACCCTGGGAGATACTTACAGACCCTGCTGTCGATGAAGGCCTTCTGAAGCACCTATGCGCCTTTCTTCACCTGCTCCTTAGGTGAGGGGGTGGGGAAAGACTCAGACGAAAGACATCCTGGTGTCTCCGGTGCATCTTGTGAACCTCTTGTTAGCCCACCTTAACTGAACAAGCCTGCTCCTGCCCAAACCTCACCCCTACACAGTGGGGGTGAGGGGTGCTGGGAAGCTGGCAGAAACAGATCTGGGAAGGACATGAGCTTTGGACTGAGAAGCGATGGGTCTGAAGCCTAACTCACTAACTCAGCAGGACATTTAACCTCCAAGTACTTCTGCTTTCTCCTTTCCTACAAGAGGATTAAGACTGTTCTCACGGGAGTGCTGTGCCAGTGAAGTTACTAACAGAGGTAATGCAGCAAGCATGGGCCCTAGCACCAAGTATCTGCTCAGTAAACGCTGGCTCTCATGACCCTGGGCATTTCACCACTGCCTCCGTGATTTCAGATTTCACACATCCTTTGAAACGGCTATAACACAGGTCTCATAGAATCCAAAGACTTTGTATTGTCCAGTAATCTCTCCTCCTAGGCCTTTGCTTTCAACATCCAACATTTCCAGGCCGTTCCCTTAGGGCCACTGCCATGTGCTGATCCTACTCACGTGTCTCTAAATCTCTGGACGGAAAGATCCGAGGAAATTCCAGAAAAGCTGAGAAAAAAGTTCAACGATTCACGCATTATCTAGCTGGCACCTCCCAGGATTCACATTACACATTTTGGAAGGAAGGAAAAGAACTGCGGGGTGTCTGAATGACATGCTAAGGCCTGCGTTGAGCTGCGCTCTGGGCACCTCCCCGCAATCCCCACAGGGAAAGTGAGGCATTCCCTACAGGAAGAAAGGCGGCGATGGAGCTCTTGCGCGCCTGGGAAGACACCCGCCCACGCGTGCCTCTGCCCACTCCCGGAGCCGACGAAGAGGGAGGCTCCATCCCGACTCACTTCCTGCAGGGGAGGAAAGACATCTTGCCGCAGGGCGGCCGGCGGCAGTTCCGCCTCTGGACCGGCCGGCTACAGAGCGCGCCCCGCCGACACCTACGTGGCGCAGCCCGCTCGCGAGGCGCGGCGGGCGAAGGCCCCCCTCTCCGCCCTAGCCTCCCCGCGGGGCTCCCGGCCGGCCCGGCGAGGGACGACGCGAGTGAAGCCCGCGGAGCCCCGGGCCCGGCGGAGGGGCGAGCCCGGGAGGCGCAGGGCGCGCGGCGGGAGCAGAGGCGCGCAGGCCGCCGCCGGGTCACCCACCTTTCTTACTCTGCGGGCCGTGTAGAGCCCCATCCCGTCCTGAACCCGGGAGGACTTCAGGGAGAACCTGTCCGGCACGTACATGCCCAGCATTTTCCCAGCCGCGGCCGCCGCCTCGCTTAACACCGGCGGTCTGCGCCCGGGAGACGACACATGGAAATTTGGGGTGCCGGGGTGGAGGGGAGAGGCCGGCGGGGAAGGAGGAAATGGAGTTTTCCTCCCAGAATCCCCACCTCCCCGCCGATTCCAGGATCCCCCGCGGCTCAGCCCCTCCTCGTCCCGGGTCTAGCTCGGCCCGGAGCCGCCGAGGCCGCAGCTGCCATTGCTGGCGCGGGGGCGTGGGGGGCGCGGGCCCGGGCGCTGCGGGCGCCGGGACGCTGCGGGCGCGGGGACGCCGCGCGCTGATTGGCCCGAAGTTAGCGGCTCGGACCCGCTCCCGGGCGTGGAGCCCGGGGCAGGGCTGACCCCGGAGCTTCGAACCTGGAGGCCTGGGAGCCGAAAAGACCCGCCCGCACCGTGCGCCCCGCGCAGCCGCGTGCGGACCCGCCCTTGACCAGCTCTGGGTTTTGAGTCTCTGAGCTTGTACTCCCAGTCGGCGAATTTTGCACTCTTCAGATGCAAAACGAAATGGGCCTTGTCCGAGCTGGGGCCATCCTCCACAACAACTTTAGAAGTTCTAGACCGAAGGCATACTTACTGCCTAACTACTGAGAACAATCCCTGGGGTCTAGGAAATTTTAGTCCTTTTACATCTGAGTTATGCATCTTTGATTTATTTCATGCTTGTTTCAGAGATTCGAACACATAGGGGACCAATAAATATGTAGATTAACATTCAGAGAAAGTGGGTATACGCAGCCTGCAGCTTATCCATTTCAAGTTAACTCAAAATTTGTCGTGAACAATTGAAGTAATATTTAAATCCAGTAGAAACTAGTTCTGTTCTGGTGTCCTAATCCCTGGGAAATTCCTACACTTCCAAACATGAGCTATTCCTGAGTCCTCTCTACCTTGACAATCACCAGACCAATTCCAGATTTTCAGACATAGAGCAGTGGAGATGGGGGAGATAAGAGGGAATGACCGAACGAACAGTGGAATCTGGAATCACGGCCGTGAAATAACACCATAAGTCTTCTTTTAGTGTTATTTGCGGTACACGGGACTCTCACTGTTGTGGCCTCTCACGCTGAGGAGCACAGGCTCCGGACGCTTAGGCTCAGCGGCCATGGCTCACGGGCCCAGCCGCTTCGCGACATGTAGGATCCTCCCGGACCAGGGCACGAACCCGCGTCCCTTAGCATCGGCAGGCGGACTCTCAACCACTGCGCCAGCAGGGAAGCCCCTTCTTTTAGTGTTTTTAATGAAGTTAGTAGGTATCGATCGCCGTGGCACTCAGAAAGAACTTTAGAAAGATGTTTCATCTTTCAAGAGGAACTGGGTGCTCTCTACTCATTTCTCTTGATATTCTTGATAATTTTCTACTCTGGGTTCTTTTCTCAGGAACTATTTGATGGTCCCAATAAATATTTGATGTTTCTTATAAACTAATAGTAATAATAATAATAATTTTGACAAAATTAAAGGCCACACTATTAAAAAAAACTCAACTGAATACATTTTAAAGATCTTATTGGCTGTATTCAACAATTCGTGGTTTAGACAACATCCATTCTGGCAGATAGGAGCTCTGAGGAGCTATACAAAGTGAAAGGCTTTCACGGGTAGAAGGAAGCAGGAACGGGGAAGTTATACCAGGCAAAAAGTGGATTGGCTATTGCAAGGTACCTTTCTCTTAGGGGATGGTGGAAGTCTGTTAGGCACATTACCTAACTAATGCTGAACAGGCACCTCCCAATTGGCTGGCTTAAGCTTCCATTTCTAGAAGAGCCGAAATTGTAATTAAGTCTCAGTTTGGTGATGGAGAGTTTAGCATAAGGGACTCCATTTGGGGCCTGTTGTCTTGTTTTTAGCAACACACGTGGAAATGATTCCTGTGTCTTCTGGACTAAGGAAAGCTTTGGAACACAAACAGTTCCTAATCTCCTAAGTAGGAGAATTTTATTAAAGTTTAGAAAATGGTTTTTGAAAAAGCATTATGAAGAAAATCATGTAATAGCAATATTTGGAGATTTTAAAGAACAGAATAAATGATCTTTTTTTTTTTTTTTTTAACTGAAGGGTAGGTAGCTTTGCCAGGGGTGAGAGGAACAATGCCTTAATCATTCTTTGAGTTTTGATCTCTCTGACCTACCATTAAAGATATCTAACTTCCCGTAGGTGGATATGAATTAATAAATAAACAAAGTTTGTTTGGGGGAAATTTGAAATTAGATGGCCTTGAAACATGTAATAGGGATTCAATAAATATGTCTTGATTAGAAGTCTATTCTGAGGCTAATCTGAGATTTCCAAATTAGTCAACAGTGAGCCTAGACTCCAACTGTTGTTCCTCAAAGAATCTGGACTAAGTAGGTTTTCCTGGAATCCTTTAAGCCAGTGCTAAAATAAGGCCAGACCAGGTCCACTGGGCCCAGCTGGAACCAGACCACAATCCAGAGGGTGGCCATGGCACTTTCCCCAGGGCGCTCAGTCCTTTGTCACACACAGCTTTTCAGCCCTGGTCCTCAAGCCACCCTGGCTCCTCAGTCAAATGCTCTGCCATGTCTCTTTGGGCACAAAAGTTTCCACAGTCTTTGATCACTAGAGAGAAGAAGAAATGTTTTCTGGACTTGGTCTGACACAAGCCTCATTCACTGATGACCCTTGCTTTGGCATAGCTCCCTTTTCATTGCTGCTATGTGTCTGGGGAACAAAGTTGTCAGCTTGAGAATGCTCATCTTTCTGAATGTAGGTAGGCATCTTTACTAATTAGGAAGCAGTGATGAAAATAAATTAGTTTGTGATGATAAATCTGAGATTAGTAAAATGAAAAACTTTCTAGATCTTTTATGAATCTCTGTCAGAGATTTTGTTACAACTAATGAAAACAGTGTATTTCATTAAAGCATGCAATGTTCTGTTTATCTATTTGTTGGAGTTTTCTGAAGATCTACCACCTAAAACATAGAAAACAGCAACAAAAAGCTCTTAATAATAATCTCTCTTACAACACATAAAAAAGGATATGTGCTTGCCAGATGAAAATGCACCATACTGACCGGAAATTTGATTTTGAAGCCTATAAGACAGTAGTGGTACAATGAGTCATTTCTTAAAACTTTTAAAGCTAGAAAGTGACCTTTCAACACTGTCTTTGAAAAAAGGGAAATTAAAATTCTGCTTTATATCAAGAGTTTAAATCCAGTCTTAAAAAAATAAGAAAATCAAAATATTGACATTAAAGTACTACCATGCACCTGATTTACTTATTATAGAAAAGATTGCACTATCTTGAGACAAGAGAAATGACTCCAAATACATTTCTCCTTATTTTCAAATTTGCTTTTGGAGGAAACTTTTTTCATTGATATGCCTAAAGCAAGCTCCAGTTATTGAATTCAAACTTGTGTACTGGCGCAGTCCTTGTTTTTCATTACAGGGGAAGATTTAATTCTATAATTCTGTAATATATGATTATTTTACCACACATACTGTAAAATCCTTTGATTGTGTCTCAATTATTAATGACTATTTCCAACTGTCTTGGTAGATTAAAAGTCTGATAGGAAAAAAATACTGAGGTTTATTTATCTTTAGTTTCCTGAGAGTCAGAAGGACTTGTAGTGAATGAATATAAAACCAAATTTCCCGAGCAGAAAAGAATAAAGATGTATTGGTTTGGCCAAAAAGTGCCTTCAGTTTTTAAGTATAATAAAAGACACATTTTTCATTTTCACCAAGAACTTTATTGAACAACATAGTCACCGTTTTGTTCCACCACCTTCTGCCATTTTTCAGGCAACTTCATAATTCCATTTTCCCAAAACTTTTTATGTTTTTGAGCAAAGAACTGTTCCAGGTGGGTGCCTTTTACAAGTCTTCCAGGGAATTGAGATTTTTTGCATTAAGAGAACTTTGTAAGGACCTAAATAAATGGAAATCCGAAGGTGCAATGTCTGGTGAATATGGTGAATGAATCAGAACTTCCCAGCCAAGCTGTAACAGTTTTTGCCTGGTCATCAAAGAAACATGTGGTCTTGCGTTATCCTGATGGAAGATTATGCGTTTTCTGTTGACTGATCCTGGACGCATTTCGTCGAGTGCTGCTTTCAGTTGGTCTCATTGGGAGCAGTAGTTGTTGGAATTAATTGTTCGGTTTTCCGGAAGGAGCTCATAATAGAGCACTCCCTTCCAATCCCACCATACACACAACATCACCTTCTTTGGATGAAGACCGGCCTTTAGTGTGGTTGGTGGTTGTTCATTTCACTTGCCCCATGATCTCTTCCATTCCACATTGTTCTACAGTATCCACTTTTCATTGCCAGTCACAATTTGTTTTAAAAATGGAACGTTTTCATTTCCTTTTAGTAGAGAATCGCATGAGGAAATACGGTCAAGAAGGTTTTTTTCGCTTAACTTATGTGGAACCCAAACATCAAAGCAATGAACATAACCAAGCTGGTGCAAATGATTTTCAACGCTTGATTTGGATATTTTGAGTATGTCGGCTATCTCTCGTGTGGTATAACGTTGATTGTTCTCAATTAAGGTCTTGATTGATCGCTATCAACTTTAACTGGTCTATCCAACGGTGGAGCATCGTCCAGCAAGAAATCTCCAGCACGAAACTTCGCAAACCACTTTGGACACGTTTGATCAGTCACAGCACCTTCTCCATATACTGCACAAATCTTTTTTTGTGTTTCAGTTGTGTTTTTACCTTTCTAGAAATAATAAGGCATAATATGCTGAAAATGTTGCTTTTATTCTTCCATCTTCAATATTAAAATGGCTACAGGAAAATTCATCAATTTTGATGTCTTTTTTTAAATGCACGCTAATATGACAGCTGTCTCATACAATCTAAGAAAACTGTTTTGAATGAAGTGAAAGACAACTAGGTGCTACTAGAGCCATCTTATGGGAAAAGAAAGAATGGATCTTTTGGCCAACCCAATATTTGCTGTGACTCAAAGAAAAAAGAAAAG